CAGAGAGCCTGGAGGGGAGACTCCGACTCTTAGCAAGGCCAAATGCTGGTTCTGCCAGGCTGGGAGGTACTGAGCAATGTACTGTGATCTAAGAACGACCACAATCCATACGTAGGAACTGAGTTTATGTTTAATTTTGGTTGTGGAGTTAGGGCCAAGGAGGTACCAGCTCTGCCTCTCAAGAGCCCAGTAGCTGGATAGTCAGCCAACAGGCCTATCCTGGGAAGGCGGTCAGCGTGACTGGGGTCACAGGGCGGACCTAGCTGGATACAAGCTCAGGCCAGTGGATGCACTGCTATACATCTGAAGGTTGACGTATGGAAGGGGTGTAGGGGAGGAGGAGCCCAAGAAGTATCCATATGGAGCATGCCCAAGGGAATCAATGACATACGAAAAACCTCCCTATTTCATAATAAGACCAAGGTGTGGAGGGCAAGCGACAGGAGGCTCCCTTACGAGAAAGCATCCAATGGATGGTTGTGCCAAAAGCTGCAAGTACCCAGGTTTGGTCACAAAGCCCTGAGTTGCTTGGGAGCAACTGTTCGGGCTTAGACATGCACAGACCTCCTGAGGTCCCTTCCAACCCTAATTTTCTATGATTCTGTGTAGTGCATTGCCCACTTCAGCTGGTCTGGTATCCCCACTATAGTCCTGGCTAGACTGAGCTACACACTGCACCTGTTCTGGCTGTTCTGGGATCCATGCTGCATGTGCCTGCTTTTGTGAAGCATATCCTGGACCCTAGGTTGGTCTAGAGCATGCTGTGCCCTGTGTGGATCTGCTCAGACCCAGAAGCAGCACTAGGGGGCTAACAGCAGGGGATAGCAGTATGTTTGACACCCCTGCTCTAGGTCTTGACAGTACTTATAGTATTGGCACTGCAGTGGACCTGACTCTGTGCTGGCTAGTAAGCGTGAACTCCAATCCCCCTGTTGTAGGGCAGCCAGGATCAGAAAACAGGCATATAGGGCTCATCCACACATGCATGCACGTGCATTTGCAGCAGCTCAAATAGAAGCAGTATAAATTTGAGCTGGGGCTTTTTGTCTCAGTGCATGTGCTCGGACATGCACTTTGTTGTGGAGCAAATTATGCCACTTGGGGCAAAATAACTCTGCCTGGCTCCTCCTGGATCTGTAGCCAGGGGGAGCTAGAGCCTGGGGCCACCACCTGTGCTGTCCCCAGCACTATAAAAAGCTGCCCTGTCTTGGCCCCATCCAAAAAGCTGCCCTGGCAAGCAGTTCAGGGCTACTCACTCTCAGGAGCTTCTGGGGCCCAGCCAATTGGTACCTGGGGACCAATTGGTGCCAGATGGACTGCTCCAGCAGCATCCGAAATCCATTTTTTAAAAATACCCCAAAATCCATATTTTTCCACAATTAAAACAAAAGCCCACTCTGTACACACACACACACACACACACACACACACACA